AAGAAACAAGAAACCAACACACCACCACACCAAGAAACCAAGAAACCAACACACCGCCACACCAAGAAACCAACATACCAACACACCAAGAAACCAATACACCAACACACCAAGAAACCAAAACACCAAGAAACCAACACACCAACACACCAAGAAACCAACACACCGCCACACCAAGAAACCAACATACCAACACACCAAGAAACCAACACACCAAGAAATCAACACACCAACACATCAAGAAACCCACACACCAGAAAACCAAGAAACCAACACACCAAGAAACCCACACACCATCACACCAACACACTATCACACCAACGCACCATCACACCAAGAAACCAAGAAACCAACACACCAACACACCAAGAAACCAACACACCAACACACCAAGAAACCAAGAAACCAACACATCAACACACCAAGAAACCAATACACCAACACACCAAGAAACCACCACACCACGAAACCAAGAAACCAACACACCGCCACACCAAGAAACCAACATACCAACACACCAAGAAACCAATACACCAACACACCAAGAAACCAAAACACCAAGAAACCATCACACCAACACACCAAGAAACCAACACACCGCCACACCAAGAAACCAACATACCAACACACCAAGAAACCAAAACACCAACACACCAAGAAACCAACACACCAACACATCAAGAAACCCACACACCAGAAAACCAAGAAACCAACACACCAAGAAACCCACACACCATCACACCAACACACTATCACACCAACGCACCATCACACCAAGAAACCAAGAAACCAAGAAACCAACACACCAACACACCAACATACCAAGAAACCAATACACCAACACACCAAGAAACCAATACACCAAGAAACCAATACACCAAGAAACCAAGAAACCAACACACCAAGAAACCAACACACCAAGAAATCAAGAAACCAACACACCAACACACCAAGAAACCAACACACCAACACACCAAGAAACCAAGAAACCAACACACCAACACACCAAGAAACCACCACACCACGAAACCAAGAAACCAACACACTAAGAAACCAAAGCACCAACACACCAAGAAACCAACACACCGCCACACCAAGAAACAAACATACCAACACACCAAGAAACCAAGGAGCCAACACACAAACACACCAAGAAACCAACACACCAACACACCAAGAAACCAACACACCAACACACCAAGAAACCAACACTCCAAAAACCAACACACCAAGAAACCAACACACTAACAAACCAAGAAACCAACACACCAAGAAACCAACACACCAACACACCAAGAAATCAACACACCAACACACCAACACACCAAGAAACCAACACACCAACAAACCAAGAAACCAACACACCACCACACCAAGAAACCAAGAAACCAACACACCGCCACACCAAGAAACCAACATACCAACACACCAAGAAACCAATACACCAACACACCAAGAAACCAAAACACCAAGAAACACACCAACACACCAAGAAACCAACACACCAACACACCAAGAAACCAACACACCAACACACCAAGAAACCAACATACCAACACACCAAGAAACCAATACACCAACACACCAAGAAACCAAAACACCAAAAACCAAAACACCAAGAAACCAACACACCAACACACCAAGAAACCAACACACCAACACACCAAGAAACCAAGAAACCAACACACCAAGAAACCAAGAAACCAAGACACCAATACACCAACACACCAAGAAACCAACACACCAAGAAATTAAGAAACCAACACACCAACACACCAAGAAACCAAGAAACCAACACACCAAGAAACCAAGAAACCAACACACCAAGAAACCAACACACCAAGAAACCAATACCCCAACACACCAAGAAATTAGGAAATTAAGAAACCAACACACCAACACACCAAGAAATCAAGAAACCAACATACCAAGAAACCAAGAAACCAACACACCAACACACCAAGAAACCAACACACGCCACACCAACACACCAAGAAACCAACACACCAACACACCAAGAAACCAACACACCAACACACCAAGAAACCAACACACCAAGAAACCCACACACCATCACACCAACACACTATCACACCAACACACCATCACACCAAGAAACCAAGAAACCAACACACCAACACACCAAGAAACCAACACACCAACACACCAAGAAACCAATACACCAACACACCAAGAAACCATGGAACCAACACACCAAGAAACCAATACACCAAGAAACCAAGAAACCAACACACCAAGAAACCAACACACCAAGAAATCAAGAAACCAACACACCAACACACCAAGAAACCAAGAAACCAACACACCAACACACCAAGAAACCAACACACCAAGAAACCAATACACCAAGAAACCAACACACCGCCACACCAAGAAACCAATACACCAACACACCAAGAAACCAAGAAACCAACACACCAACACACCAAGAAACCAACACACCAAGAAACCAACACACCAACACACCAAGAAACCAAGAAACCAACACACCAACACACCAAGAAACCAAGAAACCAACACACCAAGAAACTAACACACCAAGAAACCAACACACCAACACACCAAGAAACCAACATACCAACACACCAAGAAACCAAAACACCAATGCACCAAGAAACCAACACACCAACACATCAAGAAACACACACACCAGAAAACCAAGAAACCCACACACCAACACACCCACACACCAACACACCAACACACCAAGAAACCAAGAAACCAACACACCAACACACCAAGAAACCAACACACCAAGAAACCAAGAAACCAACACACCAAGAAACCAAGAAACCAACACACCAACACACCAACAAACCAAGAAACCAACACACCAACACACCAAGAAACCAAGAAACCAAGAAACCAACACACCAAGAAACCAAGAAACCAACACACCAACACACCAAGAAACCAACACACCAACACACCAAGAAACCAATACCCCAACACACCAAGAAATTAGGAAATTAAGAAACCAACACACCAATACACCAAGAAATCAAGAAACCAACACACCAAGAAACCAAGAAGCCAACACACCAATACACCAACACACCAAGAAACCAACATACCAACACATCAAGAAACCCACACACCAGAAAACCAAGAAACCAACACACCAAGAAACCAACACACCAACACACCAAGAAACCAAGAAACCAACACACCAAGAAACCAAGAAACCAAGAAACCAACACACCAACACACCAAGAAACCAATACACCAACACACCAAGAAACCATGGAACCAACACACCAAGAAACTAATACACCAAGAAACCAAGAAACCAACACACCAAGAAACCAACACACCAAGAAATCAAGAAACCAACACACCAACACACCAAGAAACCAAGAAACCAACACACCAACACACCAAGAAACCAACACACCAAGAAACCAATACACCAAGAAACCAACACACCGCCACACCAAGAAACCAATACACCAACACACCAAGAAACCAAGAAACCAACACACCAACACACCAAGAAACCAACACACCAAGAAACCAACACACCAACACACCAACACACCAAGAAACCAAGAAACCAACACACCAACACACCAAGAAACCAAGAAACCAACACACCAAGAAACCAACACACCAAGAAACCAACACACCAACACACCAAGAAACCAACATACCAACACACCAAGAAACCAAAACACCAATGCACCAAGAAACCAACACACCAACACATCAAGAAACACACACACCAGAAAACCAAGAAACCAACACACCAAGAAACCCACACACCAACACACCAACACACCAAGAAACCAACACACCAACACACCAAGAAACCAACACACCAAGAAACCAAGAAACCAACACACCAACACACCAAGAAACCAAGAAACCAACACACCAAGAAACCAAGAAACCAACACACCAACACACCAACACACCAACAAACCAAGAAACCAACACACCAACACACCAAGAAACCAAGAAACCAAGAAACCAACACACCAAGAAACCAAGAAACCAACACACCAACACACCAAGAAACCAAGAAACCAACACACCAAGAAACCAAGAAACCAAGAAACCAACACACCAACACACCAAGAAACCAATACACCAACACACCAAGAAACCAACACACCAACACACCAAGAAACCAAGAAACCAACACACCAAGAAACCAAGAAACCAACACACCAACACACCAAGAAACCAATACCCCAACACACCAAGAAATTAGGAAATTAAGAAACCAACACACCAACACACCAAGAAATCAAGAAACCAACACACCAAGAAACCAAGAAACCAACACACCAAGAAACCATCACACCAACACACCAACACACCAAGAAACCAACACACCGCCACACCAAGAAACCAACATACCAACACACCAAGAAACCAAAACACCAACACACCAAGAAACCAACACACCAACACATCAAGAAACCCACACACCAGAAAACCAAGAAACCAACACACCAAGAAACCCACACACCATCACACCAACACACTATCACACCAACACACCATCACACCAAGAAACCAAGAAACCAACACACCAACACACCAAGAAACCAACACACCAACACACCAAGAAACCATGGAACCAACACACCAAGAAACCATGGAACCAACACACCAAGAAACCAATACACCAAGAAATCAAGAAACCAACACACCAAGAAACCAACACACCAAGAAATCAAGAAACCAACACACCAACACACCAAGAAACCAAGAAACCAACACACCAACACACCAAGAAACCAACACACCAAGAAACCAATACACCAACACACCAAGAAACCCACACACTATCACACCAAGAAACCATCACACCAAGAAACCAACACACCAATAAACCCATACACTATCACACCAACACCATCACACCAAGAAACCCACACACTATCACACCAACACACTATCACACCAACACACTATCACACCAACACACCATCACTCCAACACACTATCACACCAACACACCATTACACCAAGAAACCAACACACCAGGTATATATACATCTATTTTTTTTACATTTCTAAATGTCACATGAAGCTCTGAAAATATCATTACAACGGGTTTTATAAATAACCCCACCCCCCACCTCTACCGCCACTACCTCAATGGGGTCTTTGTAACAGAGGGACAAGCGATGCAGTTTAGAGGGAGAGAGATAGAGAGCGTCAGACAGGATGTGTCTCTGTCAGAGCTGCTGCTGGAGTTCACTTTCCTCTTACAAATTATTATTCAGGATCATCAGCTGATAACTAACCAATCATCAGACCTCAATAAACACAGGACTCCAACACCTGCATGTGGACGGTAAGACTGTTTGTTTAACTTTTAGGGTTAGGTTTGGTGAGGAGTTAGGGTTAGCAAACCAAATTCCAGCGAAATAATCACTGATTGTAGCCATGCATGTTTCAGAATGTGTAACTGAAGCAGCTTTAACAGGCTCAACTGGAGGTTTAGCATCAAATTACGTGTGTGTAAAATCTTCTGATGACGATGTATGAATTGTCACATTCAGGGCGGAGAGTTGTAGGATTCAGAAAGTACGACTTCTCAAAGCTTCTGAGGGATAATGAATAGAATATTTATGACCTGTGACAGTTTTCTAAAAATGAGATGATTCATCTGATATGGTTTTGATTCATAATTTACGATTTAAATATATTGTAATTTACTTACTTTTTAGATGGAAATATCTCCTCTCCCTCTAATCCCTCTGATTGGATCAAAGAGATTCTGCAATATATCAAGCTGGAGACTATCGGACACTGTCCTTAAGGGTCCGTCCTGACATTTCACACAACCTGGCAGCCTTTTCAGACATGTGTTGAATAGATGAATCAGAGCCTGTCGTCCAATGATTCTGTGTGTCGGTAGATAACAGTGTAGGACAACTGATGCTAACTTTGCGTGGCATGTCTGTTGGGTGGGTATAATATGGTACTATGTTTTGTATGTTTTTGTACAAGGTGAAAACCAGGAATGAAGACACATTGATTCACATGTTCTTAAAAAAGGAGGCCATTTTAATGCTTTTAATGATTATAAAGAATAAAGATTCAAGTCCTGAATTAAAAACATATGACTCAAAAACAAGGTTGTAAGCAGCATAATATTCAAAACCATTATTGTTATTCTTGTTATTAGTTTTTTTTTGTCTGTGTCTCTGAAAGGATCAACATTTCTTCATCACCTCTTCCTACAACAAATCAGGCCAGTTTCAATCGTCAAGTTGGACAGTCTTACATTTTGTCTGACATTTGTCTCTTAACTGGAAATTTTGACTTCTCTTTATTTTATGATATGTTTTTTTTCTTTTTTAGATACTCTGATGTGTCTTTATTGGACAGTCTGATGACTCGTTATTGGACAGTCTGATGTCTCATTGTTGGACAGTCTGTTGTCTCTTTATTTGACAGTCTGATGTCTCTTCATTGGACAGTCTGATGTCTCGTTATTGGACAGTCTGATGTCTCTTCATTGGACAGTCTGTTGTCTCTTTATTGGACAGTCTGATGACTCGTTATTGGACAGTCTGATGTCTCATTATTGGACAGTCTGTTGTCTCTTTATTGGACAGTCTGATGTCTCTTCATTGGGTAGTCTGATGTCTCTTTATTGGACAGTCTGTTGTCTCTTTATTGGACAGTCTGATGTCTATGTATTGGACAGTCTTTTGTCTCTTTATTGGACAGTCTGTTGTCTCTTTATTGGACAGTCTGATGTCTCTTTATTGGACAGTCTGATGTGTTTCTATTGGACAGTCTGTAGTCTCTTTATTGGACAGTCTGATGTCTCTTTATTGGACAGTCTGTTGTCTCTTTATTGGACAGTCTGATGTCTCTTTATTGGACAGCCTGTAGTCTATTTATTGGACAGTCTGATGTCTCTTTATTGGACTGCCTGTAGTCTCTTTATTGGACAGATTTTTTGTAGGCGCTTTGTTTTACATCTCTTTGTTGGACAGTTGGACATCTTCTAGTTGTAGTGTGTCTACTCAGAGATGAAAAGCCACTTTCTTCAGAGCGCGCTCATTGTGTATTTCCTGTTGCTGTGGGAGGAGTCAGGCTGTAAGGCATTGTCACTGAAGCCCTTCCTCCTGCATAAGATATCAGGAGAAAGGGGAGGTGATGTGGGAGGAGCACGAGGTGCTGAAGGACAAGTAAGAGGAATCAACTCCCCCCACAGGAGGAAAAGAAGCTGGGTGTGGAACCAGTTCTTCATCCTGGAGGAGTATACTGGAGATGAGCCGCTGTACGTTGGAAAGGTATTAGTACCTGATGGTTCTTTATCTTCATTACTAAATCAAAGATCCACAAATTGTCACTATTCAAAACAATCAGAACAAAGAGGAAGTCCTGGTTTTGACTTTTCACTCTGAGAACAGGAAGGTAGGTGGTCTCTGCTGGGTTACCTTGTTTTGTCTGCTGGTTTGACTGGTTGTCTCTTGTCCCTGCAGCTCCACTCGGATGTGGATAAAGGGGACGGTCAGGTGAGGTACTTCCTGAGTGGTGAAGGAGCAATGTCCATCTTCACCATTGATGAAAACACTGGGGATATTCACGCCACCAAGAGGCTGGATCGGGAACAGCAAGAATACTTCACCTTGAGAGCTCAGGCCAGAGACAGAAACACCAACCTGCTGGTTGAACCCGAGTCTCTGTTCATCATCAAAGTCCAGGACATCAATGACAACGAGCCAAAGTTCCTGGACGGACCGTACACAGCCAGGGTACCGGAGAGGTGTCCTGTAGGTGAGTCTGAATATCTGCAAACAATCAAGGTATGACATCGAGTCAAAGCTTCCTTCAAAACATTAAGGACATCATCATTCAAGTATGTTGCCTTAATATTTCAAGGTTCTTCTTCAACTTTTCATTCACATAAAGTGAGAAGACTTTAATATATTTAATATATATACAGTCTGCTAATGAGAACATGGGCTGTAACATGACTAAATGTAAATATTGGTGTCAAAGAGACTCTTTATGTGAAAGGGTTAAATGTGAAAATAACTGCTCAGCCAGGGCTGAACAGCAGAGAGCCATCATAACTTCCCCAGTGTGTTGAATAAAGGTTTACCTTGAATCATGCAGGTGTTTCTCCTGTACAGGTACGTCTGTGATGACAGTTGTGGCGACAGACGATGACGATCCAACTTATGGAAACTCTGCCGGATTAGTTTACAGCCTCCTGCAAGGTCAGCCATTCTTCTCTGTGGAGCCAAAGACCGGTGAGAGCACACCTGAGCACATCTGAACAAAACCTGAACCAGACGCCTCAATACTCCTGAACATTACCTGAACATAACACCCGAACACAATCTGAACACAACCTGAACATAACACCTGAACACAACCTGAACACAACCTGAACATAACACCTGAACACAACATGTACACAACATGAACGTAACACCTGAACACAACCTGAACACAACATGAACATAACATGAACATAACACCTGAACATAACCTGAACACAACATGTACACAACATGAATGTAACACCTGAACACAACCTGAACACAACATGAACATAAGATCTGAACACAACCTGAACCCAACCTGAACATAACCTGAACACAACCTGAACATAACCTGAACATAACCTGAACACAACCTGAACACAACCTGAACATAACCTGAACATAACCTGAACACAACCTGAACATAACCTGAACATAACCTGAACACAACCTGAACACAACCTGAACATAACCTGAACACAACCTGAGCACAACCTTAACGCAACACCTGAACACAACCTGAACTCAACCTGAACACAACCTGAACACAACATGAACATGACACCTGAAGATAACCGGAACACAACCTGAACACGACACCTGAAAACAACCGGAACAAAACCTGTACACAACCTGAACACAACCTGAACAAAACACCTGAACACAATCTGAACACAACCTGAGCACAACCTTAACGCAACACCTGAACACAACCTGAACTCAACCTGAACACAACCTGAACACAACCTGAACACAACATCTGAAAACAACCTGAACATGACACCTGAAGACAACCGGAACACAACCTGAACACGACACCTGAAAACAACCGGAAAACAACACCTGTACACAACCTGAACACAACCTGAACAAAACACCTGAACACAATCTGAACACAACCTGAGCACAACCTTAACGCAACACCTGAACACAACCTGAACTCAACCTGAACACAACCTGAACACAACCTGAACACAACATCTGAAAACAACCTGAACATGACACCTGAAGACAACCGGAACACAACCTGAACACGACACCTGAAAACAACCGGAACAAAACCTGTACACAACCTGAACACAACCTGAACAAAACACCTGAACACAATCTGAACACAACCTGAGCACAACCTTAACGCAACACCTGAACACAACCTGAACTCAACCTATACACAACCTGAACACGACACCTGAAGACGACACCTGAAGACGACACCTGAACACAACCTGAACACAACACCTGAAAACAACCTGAACAAAACACCTGAACACAACCTGAACACAACCTGTACACAACCTGAACACAACCTGAACACAACACCTGAACACAACACCTGAACACAACCTGAACACAACCTGAACACAACCTGAACACAACACCTGAACACAACCTGAACACAACCTGAACACAACCTGAAGACGACACCTGAACACAACACCTGAACACAACCTGAACACAACACCTGAACACAACCTGAACACAACCTGAACACAACCTGTACACAACCTGAACACAACCTGAACACAACCTGAACACAACACCTGAACACAACCTGAACACAACCTGAACACAACACCTGAACACAACCTGAACACAACCTGAACACAACCTGAACACAACGTTAGTTCAGACCAGGAGGCAGAGCTGCAGTCTTACACGCTTCTCTGCGCCTCCCTTAGATCTGTCTCCCAGTCACTATAGCTGTAATTCTGAATCGAACTGTAGTTATACTATAGGTACTGTGTCTGTCCCCCGGCCAGACCAAGTCATCCAAATAAAAAAAGAAAAGGCATAAATCGTCAAAATCTCATCAGGATCAAGACTACGAATACGATTTTGCTAAAAAATCAGAAGATTCACTGCAGACTTTTGAACATTAGATCCTTAGCATCCAAATCTCTTTTAGTGAATGATCTGATATCAGATCAGCATATTGATTTACTTTTTTTGACTGAAACCTGGCTGTGTCAAGATGAATATGTTAGTTTAAATGAATCCACTCCTCCCAGTCATTTTTGTACTCATATACCTCGAGACACCGGACGAGGTGGTGGAGTAGCAACTATTTTTAATTCTGGACTTCCAGTTAACCCTCGACCAAAGCTGAATTTTTCTTCTTTTGAAAGCCTTGTTCTTAGTTTTTCACATCCAGTCTCAAGAACCTTTCAGCCAGTTCTAGTTGTTGTAGTTTACCGTCCTCCTGGCCCATATTCTGAGTTTCTATCTGAATTTGCAGAATTTTTATCAGATTTGGTCCTTAGCAGTGATAGAATAATTGTTGTAGGTGACTTCAATATCCATGTGGATGTTGATAATGATAGCCTGAGCACAGCTTTCATGTCACTATTAGACTCTATTGGTTTCACCCAGGGTGTAAACGAACCTACTCATCGTTTTAACCACACCCTGGATCTTGTTTTAGCTTATGGAATTGAAATCCATAACCTTACAATTTTCCTAGAAAATCCTCTGCTATCAGACCATTATTTTATTACATTCGATTTTGTCCTACCAGAATTATCTCTGCCTGGAAGAGGTGTGCTCTCTAGAAGTTTGTTGGATAGTGCTGTGGCTAGATTTAAGGAAGCTATTTCAGCTGTTTTTGATTCAGTACCGTGTTTCAACCCAGTTGGAAACTCTTATGATAGCTTTAGTCCCTCTCAGCTAGATCAGTTTGTTGATAGTGCAGTGGATTCGCTGAGAGTTACTCTGAATTCGATTACTCCCCTGAAACAGAAGGTTGTCAAGTGGCGGAGAGTGGCTCCATGGTTCAACTCAGAAACCCGTACTCTATAACAATCATCGCGGAATTTTGAAAGAATATGGCGCTCGACCAAAACGGTAGAATCTCGTTTTTTCTGGCAGGATAGTCATAGAAAATATATGAAGGCTCTACGTCATGCCCGAGCTGCCTACTACTCCTCTCTAATTGAGGAAAACAAAGGCAATCCTAGATACCTTTTCAGCACTGTAGCCAGGCTGACAGAGAGTCATGGCTCCATTGAGCCTTGTATTCCTCTAGCCCTCAGCAGTAATGACTTCCTGAGCTTTTTCAACAACAAAATTCTAGACATCAGAGACAAAATTGGTAACCTCCTGCCCTTACCTGGTGCGGATACGTCTGATACGGCAGAGACAGTTCCAGGACCAGATATTAGTCTTGACTGTTTTTCTCCAACCGACCTTTCAGAGCTATATTCCATTTTTTCTGCATCAAAACCGTCAACCTGTATTTTGGACCCAATCCCAACCAAGCTGTTTAAGGAAGTTTTTCCCTTAGTTAGCAACTCTATATTAGATATGATCAATTCGTCTTTACTGGCAGGTTATGTACCCCAGGCATTTAAAGTAGCGGTAATCAAACCTCTACTTAAAAAGCCTACTCTGGACTCAGGAACTCTAGCTAACTACAGGCCTATATCCAACCTTCCTTTTTTGTCGAAGATCCTGGAGAAGGTGGTAGCTAAACAGCTGTGTGACTTTCTCAATGACAACAGTTTATTTGAGGAGTTTCAGTCAGGATTTAGAGTCCACCATAGCACTGAGACTGCACGAGTTAGAGTTACAAACGATCTACTTCTAGCCTCAGACAGGGGACATCTCTCTGTGCTCGTCTTGTTAGATCTTAGTGCTGCTTTTGACACCATTGACCATCGGCTCTTATTATACAGACTAGAACATTTGCTTGGAATTACAGGGACTGCTTAATTTTTTTTGAATCCTACTTATCAGACCGATCTCAGTTTGTACATGTTAATGATGAGTCCTCTATGCACACTAAAGTTTGCCATGGAGTCCCACAAGGTTCAGTCCTTGGACCAATTCTCTTTACATTATATATGCTTCCTCTGGGAAATATTATGAGGAAACACTCCATACAGTTTCATTGTTATGCAGATAATACTCAGCTTTATGTATCAATTAAGCCCGATGGCACCAGTCAGTTATGTCAGCTAGAAACGATCCTTAAGGACGTTAGGACCTGGATGACCAGAAATGTTTTGCTACTTAACTCAGACAAGACTGAAGTTATTGTGCTAGGCCCTAAGAACCTCAGAGAGACTTTTTCTAGTGATTTGACTGTCCTTAGTGACATCAGCCTGGCATCTAGCACCACTGTTAGGAATCTAGGAGTTCTTTTTGATCAAGATATGTCTTTTAGCTCTCACATCAGTCAAGTTTCAAGAACAGCCTATTTTCACCTTCGTAATATATCCAAGATCAAGAATATCCTGTCGCAAAATGATGCAGAAAAACTAGTTCATGCATTTGTTACCTCCAGATTGGATTATTGTAACTCTTTTTTGTCAGGGTGCTCTGGCAAATCTCTAAAGACTCTTCAACTGGTCCAGAACGCTGCAGCTCGTGTACTGACCAGAACCAGGAAATGGGACCACATCACTCCTGTCCTGGCTTCTCTGCACTGGCTCCCTATACAGTATAGAATAGAATTCAAGATCCTTCTTCTCACCTACAAAGCTCTCAATGGCCAGGCACCATTTTACCTGAAGGAGCTACTAGTGCCGTACTGTCCCTCGAGAGCGTTGCGGTCCCGGAGTGCAGGCCTGTTGGTGGTACCTACAGTCTCCAAGTGTACTATGGGGGGTAAAGCCTTCAGTTATCGGGCTCTTCTCCTCTGGAACCGCCTTCCAGCCGGGGTCCGGGAGGCAGACACAGTCTGTATTTTTAAGAATAGACTTAATAGACTTTAACAGACTTTCCTTTTTGATAAATCTTATAGTTAGTGCTGGTGTAGACCAGCTCTTAGTTATGCTGCTATAGGCTTAGACTACCGGGGAAACTGGCACCTTGAGCTCTCTCTCTCTCTCTCTCTCTCTCTCTCTCTCTCTCTCTCTCTCTCTCTCTCTCTCTCTGTGCATATACAGTACATCATATTACTGCATGTATCTATCTGTAAATCTCAGTCACTAACCACCTACTTTCCTGAGAGCTCTTGAGCTCTCTTAGGCTCCTCAAGATCGTTGGTTGACGGCCAACTTGAATACAACACCTGAACACAACCTGAATACAACACCTGAACACAACCTGAACACAACACCTGAACACAACCTGAACACATGAACCAGACTCATGATGAACAGACAGAAACCTGGATCAGAACCAGACTCATGATGAACAGGCAGAAACCTGGATCAGAACCAGACTCATGATGGACAGACAGAAACCTGGATCAGAACCAGACTCATGATGAACAGGCAGAAACCTGGATCAGAACCAGACTCATGATGGACAGACAGAAACCTGGATCAGAACCAGACTCATGATGAACAGGCAGAAACTTGGATCAGAACCATACTCATGATGAACAGGCAGAAACCTGGATCAGAACCAGACTCATGATAAACAGGCAAAAACCTGCATCAGAACCAGACTCATGTTGAACAGGCAGAAACCTGGATCAGATCCAGATCCAGATTGAATAGACAGATATCTGCCAAAACTGTGTTGGGTTGTGAGGGCATATAGGGAGGCATGGAGGACTCATAATTGACATGTACAAACTGAGATTGATCTGAGAAATAGTTTTCAAACAAATCTAAATATGTTCTTGTAATGCTAAGTAATTATTCTAGTCTGTTACCACTGTTTGTACAGTTTATAACGACAGAAATATTCCATCATGCGGGGCTCTCTCACGGAGTCAAGTGCTATAAGTTTAACATGAGGTAATCTGAGGCCAGTTGTGTCACTTTACTGGAATGTACTTTAAAATATTGCATACTGATGGCATTAGTTTTAGATGTCATTTATTGACTGTGGTTTGAACGTTCCTCTTGAACTTGACTCTCACCTGTCCTGCAGGTGTGGTGCGGACGGCTCTTCCTGACATGGATCGGGAGATACGTGACAACTACCTACTGGTCGTCCAGGCCAAGGACATGATTGGTCAGATGGGGGGTCTGTCAGGCACTACTTCTGTCACTGTGATGCTGACTGATGTCAACGACAACCCGCCTCATTTCCCCCGCAGTGAGTTTGACCTCTGAACTGTAGATATGATATCATTGAAACACTGTTTCACTGCGTTTGTACCTGTGTGTACCTGTGTCTCTCCAGAGAGTTACCAGTTCAGTGTTCCAGAGTCTGCCATGGTTTTCACAGTGGTTGCTAAGATCAAAGCTCTGGATCTGGATATTGGTCTAAACTCTGAGATGGACTACCGAGTTCTGGATGGAGATGGACTGGGAACCTTCCGGGTCATCACTGACCCAAATACACAGGAAGGCCTGGTGACTCTACAAAAGGTACAGGTCGCTTACTAGGCAGGAATAGTCAAACTACAATTTGTAATGGGCACATCATAGTGTAACTGCTTTCCATTCTGAAGATTCTCATTTTCTTGAACCATACACTGGTTTTCTTGTATCATAAATTGATTTTCTTTTGTCATAAATTGGTTTTATTGTATCATATATTGGTTTTCATTTGTCATAAATTGGTTTTATTGTATCATATATTGGTTTTCATTTGTCATAAATTGGTTTTATTGTATCATATATTGGTTTTCTTGAGTCATAAATTGGTTTTCTTGTGTCATAAATTAGTTTTCTTGAATCATAAGTTGGTTTTCTTGTGTCATAAATTAATTTTCTTTAATAATAAATTGTTTTTCTTGTGTCATAAATTAATTTTCTTGTATCATAAATTGGTTTTCTTTTGTCATATATTTATTTTCTTGAATCATAAATTGGTTTTCTTAAATCATATTTATTTTTTCTTGAGTCATAAATTGGTTTTCTTGAACCATAAATTGGTTTTCTTGTGTCACCAATAGTTTTCTTGTGTCATAAATTGGTTTTCTTGTGTCATATAATGGTGGAGGGTTATTGCTATCACACACTTGTCATGTCTTTATGGATACATTTTATTCTTTTGTTTAGGTGTGAGTTTCTGACTTCTCTCTGGTCCATAAATTCATGATTTAAAGGATTCAACCTCTCTGGACATATGCAGCTCTAATCTAATCTATGTGTGTTTTATCATTACATTAGTGTACTGTGCTCCAGCAGTTTTCTGGATTATATTCATGTTTTCTGCAACAGTCCCAGAGGACAGTCCTCTGCTGCCAAACAGCTGCTGACCACCATGGGCACTGTTAAATTTAGATTTCCCTTAGTGATGTGTGCGAAAGCAAAAATATTTGTTATTCCCAAACCCAAAGAAAATGTGTTTGGATGTATTAAGAACCATGTAACTCACATCATTTAAAATTAGGCTTCAGGAGCTCATTTTGAGACAATATAATCGCACACAATCACATTTATAAGTCAAGAATATTTCCAAACCGTTCTTTTATCCCTCCAGGCTCTGGATTTTGAGGCCAAATCGAGCTACTTGTTGCGTGTGGAGGCGTCCAATCACTTTCTGGATGCTCGTTTCCTGTCCATTGGTCCTTTCAGAGATGTGGCTGTGCTCCGTCTGCTGGTGGAGAACGTGGACGAGCCTCCAGTCTTCTCTTCATCCATTAGTCGAATGGTGGTCTCTGAAGCAGCTGCAGTGGGAGCTGAGGTGGGGTCAGTTTCAGCTCGAGACCCAGACAACATCAACAGTCCTATCAGGTACGTTACCACAGAAAGACACACAGTCAGCTGCAGTGGGCTGTTTCTGATGCTGTTAAATCTACCTGCAGGTACTCTATAGACAGAAAGTCCGATGTGGAGTGTTACTTTAACATTGATAGCGTTTCAGGAGTGATTAGCACAGCCAGGCCTTTGGACAGAGAGATCAATGCTGTGCACAACATCAGCGTCCTGGCCACCGAGATCTGTGAGTCTGAACTTTATTACATTTGAATCAACAGTTACTTTCCCTTAGAGTATCCAGCACTTCTGTCATCCAGACCCAAAGGCCTCAACCAGATTACTCTTTCTCATTGTACTACAAGATAAGCTAGCTGTTACCCAGGTTTCCTGTCTTTATGCTAAACTAAGCTAGCTGGGAGCTTGTTGGTTCTTAAAGAGAAAAAAGAGCTGATGACAATTTCCTCCACTTTCCTGTGTTGTTTTCATCCTGCTGTAATGAAAATTGATTTTGGTGGCTTTCTGTCTTCAATCAGCTGACTGTGTGTGTGTGTGTGTGTGTGTGTGTGTGTGTGTCAGTGGATCTGTCTCAGGTGGGGAAATCTGTGGTTCTTATATCTGTGACGGACATTAACGATAACGCTCCCAGCTTGGCTAACGACTACAAAACATTTGTATGTGAGAATGCAGAACCTGGACAGGTAAACAACACCTGTTTGTTTGAACTGCTGTGTTTATAACTAATATGTTTTACTCTGAAAGAATAATCAGATCAATAGAGAGGGAGAGAACAGAACAGAGAGAGTGAGAGATGGAGGTACAACAAATGGTCGAGGACGGGAATGTATGAGGGGCCGTATAGGCCAAAATTCACATTTTACCTCTCACATACACACAAACACCTCTCACATACACACAAACACCCCTCACATACACCTCTCACATACACACAAACACCTCTCACATACACACAAACACCTCTCACATACACTGTTTTACCTCTCACATACACACAAACACCTCTCACATACACAATAAAACCTCTCACATACACACAAACACCTCTCACATACACACAAACACCCCTCACATACACTGTTTTACCTCTCACATACACACAAACACCTCTCACATACACTGTTTTACCTCTCACATACACAATAAAACCTCTCACATACACACAAACACCTCTCACATACACACAAACACCTCTCACATACACACAAACACCCCTCACATACACTGTTTTACCTCTCACATACACACAAACACCTCTCACATACACACAAACACCTCTCACATACACTGTTTTACCTCTCACATACACAATAAAACCTCTCACATACACACAAACACCTCTCACATACACACAAACACCCCTCACACACACTATTTTACCTCTCACATACACAATAAAACCTCTCACATACACACAAACACCTCTCACATACACACAAACACCCCTCACATACACTGTTTTACCTCTCACATACACACAAACACCTCTCACATACACACAAACACCTCTCACATACACTGTTTTACCTCTCACATACACACAAACACCTCTCACATACACAATAAAACCTCTCACATACACACAAACACCTCTCACATACACACAAACACCCCTCACATACACTGTTTTACCTCTCACATACACACAAACACCTCTCACATACACAAAACATACCTCTCACATACACACAAACACCTCTCACATACACAAAACATACCTCTCACATACACACAAACACCTTTCACATACACAAAACATACCTCTCACATACACACAAACACCTCTCACATACACAAAACATACCTCTCACATACACACAAACACCTCTCACATACACAAAACATACCTCTCACATACACACAAACACCTTTCACATACACAAAACATACCTCTCACAAACACACGAACACCTCTCACATAGACTATACACTATGCACAATAATAACTGTATATACTCTATCACTGCACCATAACTTCACTTATTTGCACTATGTATATCTATATTTATATTTGTTTAATTAATCAGTCACTGCACAATAATAACTGTATATACTCTGTCACTGCACCATAACTTCACTTATTTGCACTATATCTCTATATTTATATTTGTTTAATTAATCAGTCACTGCAAAATAATAACTGTATATATTCTTCAGTCACCACAACTGTCTATTTATTTATTATTATTATCATTCATTCACTGAACAGCAACTGCTCTGGCCACTTTTTGCATACTTCTCTTTCATATAACCACAAATATATTTTTGTTGTTGTTTTTGTAAATGCTGTTTAGGATTGCTGCTAACAAAGTTTTGTTGTGTCCTTGTATACAATGATAATAAAGATTCTATCTATCTATTTACCTCTCACAAACACCTCTCACATACACTATTTTACCACTCACACACACACACCTCTCACATACACTTTTTGACCTCTTACATACACTAGATTGTTTCTGTAGTGAGTGTTTTAACCCTCCGAGGTCTGAGGCTATTTTGGCTGTTTTGCCTTTAATATTACTCATATCTGACTAAATCAAAAATGTTTCTCTTATAAGTGCCTGGTATCTTTTTCGGCACAACCTCAACTTTATGATCCAACCATTCATTAGTCACCTTGGGATGCTGTATCAATACACAGGACCCAAACACACACAAAAAACAGAGAATTAGTTTTTTTTTTAAAAGATGATTTTTTTAATAGTAAAAAACACAGAGAGCTAAACGAACTGTTTTGAATGAATAAAAATGAACTTCAAACATGTAAAAATTTAAACATAAAAAGTAAATTTGGAAAAAAATATTAATTGATTGGAGTATTTACAAAAAAGCAGGATTGTACATCGGCTTTTTTTACTTTCACTATGTCACTGCTCAAAACAGCTCCCAGGAACTGTTTTGAGCAGTGACATAGCTAAAATAATAATAATAATAATAATGATAATAATAATAGTAGTAGTAAATGGAAATCTATTCTACAATTCACTTAGCAGACGCTTTTATCCAAAGCGACATACATCAGAGTCAAATATATAAAGGACATTTGGTATTCAACTAATAACAAAAAATGCAGGTTTGTCCAGGGTTTGTCCAAATGTTCCCTGCGTAGTTCTGGTACCTGTTGTGCCAATCATGGTGGTAATAAAAACCAGACTAAGCAAAATATGTGACTTGAACAGCGATGTATTGAACATGCACCAACCCTATGCACCAGGTGTTTCTGTGTGTGTCTGTGTGTTCCTGTGTCTGTGTGTGTGTGTGTGTCCGAGTGTGTGTGCTTGTGTGTGTGTGTGTGTGTGTGTGTGTGTCCGTCTGTGTGTGTGTGTGTGTGTGTGTGTGTGTGTATAGAGGTTAATGTGTCACTTGACTATGTCCACAGTGTAAATCTGCTGCTGAGCTGCTTCCTGTCGGGATAAACCTGCAGAGATTATTTATGTTCAAAGTGTCGTCTCTAATGAATTAAAATCTCTTTAATCTGTTTCTGATCTGCTGCCAAAAAATCCATCACTACTCAAAAGAGACATGACCTCAATACATGAGAGAGGCATCACTTCCTGCTCGCCAAAGCGACCGCGCCCCCATTAAGGTGATAGAAGCGCTGTGAAAGTGCACGAGCTAGATTAGAAAGAACAAGAAGTCATGCGACTAAACTCTAAAGTTTGTTGGAAACTGAGATACAGGTGTGACAGGTGTAAACTGAGGAACAGGTGTGACAGGTGTAACCTGATGAACAGGTGTAAACTGATGAACAGGTGTGACAGGTGTAAACTGAGAAACAGGTGTAAACTGAGAAACAGGTGTGACAGGTGTAATCTGAGGAACAGGTGTGACAGGTGTAATCTGATGAACAGTTGTGACAGGTGTAATATGAGGAACAGGTGTGACAGGTGTAAACTGAAAAGCAGGTGTGACAGGTGTAAACTGAGAAGCAGGTGTGACAGGTGTAATCTGAGGAACAGGTGTGACAGGTGTAAACTGAGAAACAGGTGTTACAGGTGTAAACTGATGAACAGGTGTGACAGGTGTAAACTGAGCTACAGGTGTGACAGGTATAAACTGATGAAGAGGTGTGACAGGTGTAAACTGATGAACAGGTGTAAACTGAGGAACCGGTGTGACAGGTGTGAACTGATGAACAGGTGTGACAGGTGTAAACTGATGAACAGGTATGACAGGTGTAAACTGAGATACAGGTGTGACAGGTGTAAACTGAGGAACAGGTGTGACAGGTGTAAACTGATGAACAGGTGTGACAGGTGTAAACTGAGATACAGGTGTGACAGGTGTAAACTGAGGAACAGGTGTGACAGGTGTAAACTGATGAACAGGTGTGACAGGTGTAATCTGAGGAACAGGTGTGACAGGTGTAAACTGATGAACAGGTGTGACAGGTGTAAACTGATACACAGGTGTAAACTGAGCTACAGGTGTGACAGGTGTAAACTGATGAACAGGTGTGACAGGTGTAAACTGATGAACAGTTGTGACAGGTGTAATATGAGGAACAGGTGTGACAGGTGTAATCTGAGGAACAGGTGTGACAGGTGTAATCTGATGAACAGTTGTGACAGGTGTAATATGAGGAACAGGTGTGACAGGTGTAAACTGAGGAACAGGTGTAAACTGATGAACAGGTGTGACAGGTGTAAACTGAGGAACAGGTGTGGCAGGCGTAAACTGATGAACAGGTGTAAACTGATGAACAGGTGTAAATTGAGGAACAGGTGTGACAGGTGTAAACTGATGAACAGGTGTGACAGGTGTAAACTGAGGAACAGGTGTGACAGGTGTAAACTGATGAACAGGTATGACAGGTGTAAACTGAGATACAGGTGTGACAGGTGTAAACTGAGGAACAGGTGTGACAGGTGTAAACTGAGGAACAGGTGTGACAGGTGTAATCTGAGGAACAGGTGTGACAGGTGTAAACTGATGAACAGGTGTGACAGGTGTAAACTGATGAACAGGTGTAAACTGATGAACAGGTGTGACAGGTGTAAACCGAGAAACAGGTGTTACAGGTGTAAACTGATGAACAGGTGTGACAGGTGTAAACTGAGCTACAGGTGTGACAGGTATAAACTGATGAAGAGGTGTGACAGGTGTAAACTGAGCTACAGGTGTGACAGGTGTAAACTGATGAACAGGTGTGACAGGTGTAAACTGAGAAACAGGTGTTACAGGTGTAAACTGATGAACGGTGTGACAGGTGTAAACTGAGCTACAGGTGTGACAGGTGTAAACTGAGGAACCGGTGTGACAGGTGTAAACTGATGAACAGGTGTGACAGGTGTAAACTGATGAACAGGTATGACAGGTGTAAACTGAGATACAGGTGTGACAGGTGTAAACTGAGGAACAGGTGTGACAGGTGTAAACTGATGAACAGGTGTGACAGGTGTAAACTGAGATACAGGTGTGACAGGTGTAAACTGAGGAACAGGTGTGACAGGTGTAAACTGATACACAGGTGTAAACTGAGCTACAGGTGTGACAGGTGTAAACTGATGAACAGGTGTGACAGGTGTAAACTGATGAACAGGTGTGACAGGTGTAAACTGAGATACAGGTGTGACAGGTGTAAATTGATGAACAGGTGTGACAGGTGTAAACTGAGGACTTCATTTCTTAATGACTTTTTGATACCTATTCATAAAAGTCAACGCTTTATACCGATAACTCACTTCTCATTGGATCAGGGCTCCAAACACCCATTAAACAGCATTTTGGGGATTAGGGTACAGGTTCTGGACTTGTTGTGGCCTGGATCTTGACTGGTTGTGGACTGGTTGTGGTTCTAGCCTGCTTCTGGGCTTGTTCTGGACTGGTTCTGGATTGGTTGTGGCCTGCTTCTGGACATTTAATGTTCTGGTTCTTGAATA